TATGTATTTTTTACTTATTTTAGGTGGACTTAAACCTTAAATATTAGAGGAGAAAAACTCCCAGAATTAAATTACTATTAATTTCTGTTTAAATGTAGTTTCTTATCTTTGGTTAGACCGAAATACCGTATCCGTTCTGTGTATTCATACTATTGTGTTTGAGGTCCTTATCCGAAGACTGACAGAAAGGGCCGAAAAGTTGCAATTGAGTGAAATAATGATATAATTGCTGAAATACTATGCTTGAAACAACACAGAATTGTTTTTCCGACAAAAAAAGGAAAAAAAACCCCAAGGCCGCTTTTAACAGTCTATACTGCACGACTAATTATAAGAAGTGTTATCAGAATTTGAAGCGACCAATTTAGTAATTGTTATTATCACATACACCGCGGCACAGGAGTGTAATAAAGCCATTTAATAATCAAAGCACTGAATGTACTGATGGGGAGGCTATGACAGAATGTTTCAGACTTATAGTTTCTTTTCTTTTGGCTTAAAATGTGCTGTTATTTCAATTATTACCAAAATAAGAAGATATGCACATTGTGTCATTTATCCTTACTGTTGTGTTCAACCATTCATATATATGGTTGACTATTCATTTTGTTAATATTCCAGAACATTTCATTGAGGTCTACATTCGGACTGCTAATTTTGAAAAACCTAAACTGTCAATAATAAATGTGTCAATAATAAATGACATACCAGAAAGTATGACGACTGTTCATTATAAGATAACAATAACATTTTACAACTGACTGTTCCTTATCAAAATATTCTAGGACTGTTCATCATAAATACTTTATGTCATTTTATTATCATTGAATGATAATAACAACTGCAAGTTATGCAACATTTTTACTGAACATAAAAATTATACATATTTACATGTACCATAATTGAGATCAATAAGATACTGTCTTGTGATGAGTATTAATATTCATGCTCTACGGACAGAAAGTTGTATTCTCCCGAAGCAAATCTCGAATAAAATCACGTTTCAGAAAATTATTCCCATTTCATTACTCGTCGCTGACTTTGACGGCTTCGGAAATTTATTAAAACTAAATATTTCTTGAAAAAAAAAATACATATCTGCAAAGCTTATTCAAAAATTGAATCAACCTAAGTGAAAATTGATCAGGAAGTTATATCTTTTTTTTTACCAACTTATGGTAGTTAATAGATAGATTCTACATGTATTTTTAAAAAACCTCACTAGCTTGAAATATAACAGCGGAAAATCTATTGTTAACAGGGTATGCGGTTATTACGTAGGGGTTTCCCTGTCGACCATTTCCCGCAAATAGATGAGAACATCGAAGCGTCAGTGCTATATATATGAATTGGTGTTATAAATAGCGTGTTTTTGGACGTTTTTGTTGAAACTTCTCCAAATCCCCCCAGAGGCGTGCACGTCGCGGAGAAGGCAACACGGCAGGTTAATGTTCAAAAGTCATCTTAAAAGTACCAGAGGTGATTGGTTGACCTGTCGTGACTTACTCTGGAGGCTTTGGCGCTAATGAATGCCGTTTTTGTTGTCGTCAGTCAGGAAGTTGATCCTTTTGACAGTTATTGTCGTCTTCTTTACCACCAACGAACGAAGAATGGGCTACCGGAAGATTTCGGCTTTGAAAAAGACGTCCCCGATGCTATAATTCTCGGGAAACATATGGTTATCCGGCCCCGAGTATAAAATAAACTTAAAAACCACACACACTTTTTTTTGTTGAAAACAAAACAAAAAAAAACAACAACACTTTTTCTGCAGTATTTTTTTCAAGTGTTGAAATGAATACGGAAATTCCTCTTTATGTCGCCGAAATTATTTTTAGAACACAAACATATAAGTTTTTTCATTTGATTTTCTTTTACAAATAAAACATTAATCACTTCAATGCGCGCGCAAATTTATCGTTTTCAAATTAAAGTTTCGTAAGATATGTTGATGAATTCCCGATGCTCGACTGTAAGTCATTTGTATATATATGCGTTTTTTTGTTTTTTTTTTTTTTTTTTTTTTTTTTTTAAGCTTCTTATTCTTTAATATTTTTTATGTATTAAAAATTTGAATTTAATTACACATGGACTATCAAATTATGATGCGTTGCCCTAGAATTGAATAAGCTTTCTAATTACACAATACGGGGTCATTCATTTGATTGAAGACTGATCTTTGCGTCTTTCTCTGAAATAATTATTTCCTTGTTAAAACATATTTGACCACATATTTCTTTCATTTAACTGTTCACTTTACAGCTATATGATATAGCGGTTTATGAGCGTTTTCCGCGTACAGTCTCCTAGGGTGTACTAATAAGTTAGTTTTCCTTAGTTATCACGCAAGCACGATCCATGTCTCTGATGAAAGCGACAATTTACCATTATTTGTCTTTAAAAAAATATTAAGGACTATTAATGGTTTATATCAACAAAAAGAACATGCATGATATTGAGACTACGGTGTTTCAACGTTCTAGTTAATGACCCGTCATAAACAGTTAGTCGCTGCGTAGTAATTGGAAAATTTGTTATCAAAAATAATAAAGAATATTTGCCACCTAATTAAAGCATTTACTTATAAATTTTCATTTATGCTTTTTGTTAAAAAATTATTGATAAAGTTATTATGTAGAAGGGTTTTCATACCAGAACTATTTATTACAGACGTACGTATGCCTAAACCTGATTTACCGCGGCAGTATGACGTCACGGAGTAGTGATTTTGAAAAAAATCAAGAATTTTTCAGATAATTATTATCTTTACAAATTGCAGATATGAAATTAAAGAATGAAAATATTTTTATTTTAAAAAAAAAATTCTGTGATGAGTGATGAGTCATTTGGGAAAAAAAAAAAAAGGTACTTTTTTTTAAAAAAAAAACCGCGGCATAAGATTTGGGGGGGAACGGGTTTTAAAAAACTTTGGGGGTCGGCAAAAAAGCCCCCAAAAAAAAAACGAAAAATTAAAACCCCAGTGTAATAAAAAACTTTTAAACGTGACGTAAAATTTTGTTTTATTATAGTTATTTTGGGAATTTGGAAAAGGTGTATAAAAAAAGTTTAAAACCCCCAAAAATTATAATCACCCAAAAAACCAAAAAAAAAAAAAATTTTATAAAACCCTTCCCCTGCCGAAGAGACGTTTTTTTAAAAAAAAAAACCCAATTTGGTGTTTCAAATGAAACGTCAAAAAATTTAAGATTCCCTTTGGGAAAAACCTCTTGGGCCCAAAAACAGGCTCACATAAAAAAACGGGAGGGAATTTTTTCCCCGTACCTTACGAAAGTAAACAAGAGAAAAGGAGTAGTCTATTGAACGCACTTTTTGTAATTAATATCAAGCTTTCACAAGGTCATATTTTTTTCGATACTGATGGTAATATGTATCATTACTCTACTTTGGTAAATATTTATCATTTGACAGTTAAAAAGTGCTTTTAAATCGGAATTTACACCGCGTTAAATCGAACCGTACGCGCATCACCTCAGTGCATGTTGTTTACAACGTTGTGTACCAAACGGGGAAATTTAGTGTGTGTATATTACCCGTCTGGCTCGGTTATATCAATTTCTTTCGGTTGATCAATATCCAATCAAAAAGGCGGAAAAAATCTGGAAAGGGTAATAAATAAACGTATCGTTAAAAGCGCGCTATTGTTAGCGTTACACTATAGGAGCGTCATTGAAAAAATACTCATTTTTAACAGTTTACTGTTTTTATTTTATATATGTGATAAAAAGAATATCATATTCGTGTAGATTCAATACTAAATTATTGAACTCGTTGAATAAAACAATATTATGCTCGCCAGAGGCTCGCATAATATGATTTTATTCAACTCGTTCAATAAATTTAGTATTAAACTACACTCATTCAATATCCTCTATATACTGTTGCGATCTAACGGCCCCGAGACGACCCCCTTACCCTTATTTTTGCCGAAACCCTCAATAACGTCAATTTTTACAGTATTTAAGTTAATTATTTTAATTTATTTAGTCGCTTGCACACGTAAATAAACATAACAATTAATTATTATTTCGGAAATCGTAAATAACTTGTTAATAAAAAAAACAAGAAAAATAAATAAGTAAATGAATAAATAAATAAATAAATAAATAAATAAATTAATAAATAATAAATAAATAAACCCCCAAAAAATATCACAATTCGGTGTGAAATAATGGAAACCCATCATGGAAATCCAATAAAACCGTACGATATTATTTATAGATATTTACAGGTCATGTAAAACTTCCGCTTTTACGTAAATGTGACTCTACTTATTTATATTAGCCACTGTATATGTTTTGTTTTTTAGGGGAAAAAAATGTTTGAAGTAATTTGAAATAAATAAACTGGAAATAATCGACATTTTGTATGGACAAGATTGTTTTGCCAGTTTACCTGCCGCCTATATGCACAGTCATGCGGTTAAAAAAGAAAGGCGTGGTGACAATATAACATACTCGTGATCGTCAGACCCTGGTGATAAATGAGTAACATTATGTAACTCAACGCAGTTTAGGAAGTACTTGCGGCTTGCGTGGATGGCATACGAATGAATAAGAGCATCAAAGGCTGTATTTTATTATGACGAAACAAATATTGTTTTATTGTACTCTCACGTGCGTATTATATTATCTTCTATTGTATCTAGAAAGGCATTAGTTCATATTCCATATAGATTACGCAATGGAATAACAAAAAAACAAAAAAAAAAAAAAAAAAAACGCAATGGAATAACAAAAAAAAAAAACAAAAAAAAAAAACAAAAAAAAAACAACACACACACACAAACACACATTCACAAACATTTAAATTTTTTTTTAGGAAACCAAACATTTTAGGAAACCATTTGGCATACCTAACTAAGTTATACATATTCACAAGTAATTTTAACTATATATACATGTAAATGAGAGTCCGAAGCTGAAGTGATAACAATATGTACAGGATTTTACGGACAGTCGATTCTTTTGCGGTTCTAACGGCATGACTTTTACCGGAAGGTAAATACATTATTGATACTATCATTTACTCCCGTTACAATTTTTTGTTTTGACAAATTCACTATAAAATAAGTTTCGTTTGTAAGATCCCGTGGTATGGGTCATTTTTCAACAAAATCTAAATTTAATGTTTCTCCAGAGTTGAAATAAAAGTATTAAAATTCTCTTCTTCTGTCATCACCAACGGATTCAATGGAGTTGGCAAGTGGCACCAGGGGCGCGCCTCCTAAAATTTTACACCAGTGCTAAAAGATATTAGATATAGGGGAGGGGGGGGTCTACCGGCGCTCGCCACCATCGTCAAGAAATGAAATATAATTCAATCATATTATAAAGTATGAAATACTCTGATCTTAAAAAATTAATTTAGATGAAAATGTATAATTTAAGCATCGAAATGTTTAAACTACTAGAGGTAGCGCCGTTCCAAAGACGTTTAAGAGTAAGGGGGCCTAACGCATTTCCTTTAGTTCCTACCCCGCGTTTTTGCTCACACTATCAATTTTGGTCTAGCTACGCCTTTCAGTCTAAATTGTAGGTGTGCTAGTACAAATTTCTTACTTATTTAATGAAGATTCGCAAGAATGTATCATTTCTCTACTTCTCTTTAAATTACCACGTTCTGCCTACTTAAAAAAAATACGTGCGCTCCTAACTTGCCCTGGTCATAATTATTCAATACATTTTACACTGCAGAAAAATAACGACATCGGGTTACATTTCATTCAGTCATATATATGTGAAGCCGAATGACAATACTTACCACGTTGTATATTACACATAAATAAACATAAGTGCTTTAGACACAAACAAAAATGGAGCATCCATCTAAATCATCAAACTTGTTTAAAAAATCAACAAAATTCAAGTTCTTTGTTAAGAATTGATGGTAAAATCATGTGAAAATTGAATCGAACCAAGTATATGTGTGCTATTCTACAGAAATCAAAAACTTTGACACGAGCGATAGCAACAGGAGAATGTTTAACCGCTACGGGTGAAACTGAGAAATACAGTCGTGTTAAAATGTTACCACGGAGAAAGGTGGGGATCAAGGTCTCAACCCTAGTGTCTGTGCACTCACCCACATGTCGGATATCATTGTCTAAAACTTTCGTTCCATCATGTATATCTCGGCGAAGTAGCCCGGTTTCCTATGCTAGTTTCTTATTATCCTAGTATAAATAGACAAAATCCAAAATTAAATTTGCATTTTACAAACAATTAAAAATGACCACATTTTGATCAAAATTAAACAATATATTTTCATCTACAATGCATTTTGGATTTTTTTCTCATATTTACTGAGATATTTAAAGGTCCATTATGCCTTGATAATGCTTTAATTTTTATTTCTTAAAAGCTTTTTATATTTGGTTTACAAATACTTACTCACTTGCCAATTATCTGTAACATTGTTTTCCTCTGTTGCATTTTGTCAGTTAGTACAGTTAATGTGATTGATTATTTTGCATGAAAATCAAATTACCAATTTGTTTACATTTTGCTTATATGACAAATAATTTCAAAATTAGCTCTATTTTTTTTCAGGTTACAAAAATTTGACATGCTCTAAAAATCATTATCTGAATGTTATATAAATAATCATGTTAAAGAAGTAAAAATCTGTTCTAAGGCATAAAATGCCTTTAAATTAACTTGGAAACTTAAATAAATCGTGACTGCATGTGTGAATATGAGCCATACTTATAATAATAAGAAATAAAAGTCTCATTCTTTTGCACGTGTCTATATATAGACATAAATAAATGATATCATTTTGGTTTTCCATTTATGTTTTTCAATCCTTTACATTACGCATCGTAATATATATAAAAAATATCGACCTCGAACACAATAGTATGAATACACAGAACGGATGCGGTATTTCGGTCTAACCTACGCTAAGAAACTAAGCATGTAAACAAATTGTAATTTAATGTTGGGAGTTGTTGACAAGTTTATTTCCAATAAATGTAGTAAAAGTCCACCTAAAATAAGGGAATTCATAGGTAAAAATGCAAACTTTTTATAATTAGTGAAATTAACATACATGTATATAGTATTCAAATTACAATTTATATAAAAAAACAATTAGCTTTGTAGCATCATGAAATTGTACATTCGAACAGCAAACTACAAAGGAATATACACATTATAGCTCACTTGTATAAATGAGATGTTTTTATGGTGTTCTAAAACTAAGAAAGGCCAGATGAGCCGTGTCACGACAAAACCAACATAATGGGTTTGCGACCAGCATGGATCCAGATCAGCCTTCGCATCCGCGCAATCTGATCCGGATCCATGATGTTCGCTTACAAACCCTATAACAAGTAGAGAAACTGATAGCGAACAGCATGGATCCTGATCAGACTGCATGGATGCGCAGGCTGGTCAGGATCCATGCTGGGCGCAAACCCATTACGTTGGTTTTGTCGTAACGCGGCTCAAATCTTTCTTCAACCTTGTGACGCATTCTGACAGACTGCACACCCATTGATGTTGCCTTTCTCCAAACTGCCTCAGAACTCGTTTTCTTTTTTTTCCCTGGTGCTATAACATCATGTTCATATGGTGATCTCTGAAATATTTTGTAAAAGTAAGAATATTTTAGTGAAGAAGGATCAAGATCAGTTATGATACATATTTGACCAATTCAAAATGAAGTAAAAGTTTAAGTGTCAGACTTAAACCAATGCAGATGGAAAATAAATTGTCAAAAGAATATTCTGTTTTGCACTTTGTTAAACACATATAAAAACTTCACATATAAAAACAAAATCACAAAAAAATCAAAGGGAAGATAATTCCCGAGTGAGTTGATACATTTTTAATTTTTCTTTTTTTTACAGGCGCATGTCTAAGAGAAGAACGGACCATAACCATAAAAAACTTGTGAACATAAAGCATCTTAAAAGATATAAAACATTGTTATTGGAAGATAAAAGACTATTACATTGGCAGGTAATTACCTTTAATATTGTTTCTTTATTATTTTCTATAATTAACTGTCCAGTATAAGTTTTTGTAATACATCAATATATATATTGGCAGAAACCATGTACTGATCAGGAGAAGTAACCGCTGCGGAGAGTTTGATTAAATCAGTCAAAATTATTTAACCTATCTCGTACCACAGTTTGCCAAAATATTACGCAATGCCCGCCTAAGTATAAAGGTAAATGTCAAAGTAAGTTTTATTTTTGCAATACTGGTTACCAAGTTTCAGGTTTAATTTACAGATTCTCTGTTTGCATACATACAAATACAAGTAAAAATACATGTTAATTACAAGACATACAATAAGCCAAGCAACACAAAGCTATAAAATAGTACATACTAAATAAGCAAAATTCAAAGACATATTTAATATTTTACACACATTTCAATTCAGTTAAACAATAACCTTATAATTACGTAAGAAATTTATTTTGTCCGAAATATATAATGAACTAGAACGGTTTTAAAAAGACTGGGTGCACGATTTAATCGGGCCATTACGTTTGACCAGGTGTGCTTATTATGTATAGAGATGCACAAATTAGAACGTTTTACAATTGGTGACGTTGCCAGCAAGAAATAATGTAAGTGGAGTATCAATTAAAGTGTGTCATTGTTAATAAAAATTTATTTAACAATTTCTGTTCAATTTGTTATTCTACTTTTAATGAACATTCAATAACTCACGTGACACACAAACATCCATATAAAGAGTTTTTTTCAAGAGTTTAAATACATGTATATCCTTCAGAATGTATCGGTTACGCATAGTTGATAAAAAGAGTGGGCATTGTTCTTATATTTTAGATAGTTTATTAATCACCATCAAAGTGGTCAGTCTTTTGAAATATATACGTATCTAATTTAACTCAACTTGACATCGAAAAATTGAACAAAATGTCTCTTTTAAATACCCGATGGAAAAGAGATATATTGCCGTATTTAAATAGGACTCGATATTACCTTTAAACTGACCATAGGATATCCATTGTAATTGCTAATAACTGAATTTATGTTTTGTCTTTCGACTTTAACACATATTTCTTTCATATAGGTCAATGTGATGCAATGTACATGTATGTCATCTTTTTTACTGTAAATGATTTATAGGATCAGGATCACAGATGAAATAGTTGTGGTTGTTTGTACGAATAAATCGTATTTGGGACAAATATATGGGACAGAAAAGTGTGTGATTTTTGTTTTTCAAGACTTTAGTATGTCTAGTGATTACTCATCTATTCAGTCAACTCCTTCGGGAACTCCACATTTTATTAGACTAGAACCCAAGCACTGTTGCAACTTTTGTAAAAATGTTCTCCGAGACTCAATGCAGACAGTATGTGGTCACAGAATATGTAAAACTTGTGTTGAACCATTGTTTGATGATAAAACAGAACCAATAACGTGTCCAGCTGGTGAAGAAGATTGTTCAGTTTTATTCAAAAGTGATGTAAGTATATTCTTAACGCAACCACGTATAGTGTAGTTCATGAAGCTAAGGCAGCAATCTGTAACAAAAAATCTGTTAATGTTTATTTAATAATATTTTGTGGCAACTCCATGTATTCTATAAATAAATACATGTAATATGCATGATTAATACAAAAACAAATATTCACAAAGAGATACATGTATATAGTACAAATGGACAGGGCTACAAGTTATAGCAACAACCCGCTCGACAACGTTAACGTCTATATAGTTGGAGACTTTTACGATTTTATGCAAGTCATTTTCTCCTGTGTGAGTTTTTTGTCTAATATTTTGTTTATAACTATATCATTTAACAATAAATGAGGCGCGTCATGACAAAACCAACATAATGGGTTTGCGACCAGCATGGATCCAGACCAGCCTGAGCTTCTGCGAAGTCTGATCAGGATCCATGCTGTTCGTTTCTCTACTTGTTTGTCGGCGAACAGCATGGATCCTGACTGACCTGGATTAATGCTGGTCGCAAACCCATTATGTTGGTTTTGTCATGACACGGCTCAAATGAGTTTTATATTTCTCTTTCGATTTCGAATTTTATATTAAACAATACTCGTAGTTTATTCTGTTCATAAAAAAATTTGCATGAAAGGTACTGGGAAAAAATATGATATATACTGTTAAAGGTAGCCTTTCTGAAAATCATCTTTTGATCTTGTCATTTGATTTCATTTTTAAGTAATTGAATAAATTAGGCGAACTTTGAAATAATGACTTTTGTGTACCTATTTTATTATATTGTGTGTTAATTATAATATGTAAATTGATGATGAGATTTTAAAAACATTTTCTCATATTAGAATGTCAGCTTGGCCGCCAACTTCACATAAAAAATGATAAACTTAAAAACGTCTATCAAAGTGATTTTTCTGCTAATATCTTTTAAATGACAAGAAATGCCATAACAACTTCATTAAAATTCTCTTGATTGTTTTCCTTTTAATTCAGTAATTTTAAAAGTTTAGGCGTGTAGCTTTGCGCAGCTATGCCAACGTCTCATATCTCCTTCAGAGTATCTTATGGGTCTCAGGCATATTTGTCCCGCAGTCTGTTGTATTGTGCTATCAAGATTTCAATCTTTTATTGTCTAATTGGACATACTTAATTAAACCGGAATTAAGATTTTAACTTATTATTCTGATGCTTCTTCTATTTTAAAAATATGTATATTGATATTCCGCTAATATTTATTCAAAAGGCGTTTCATTTTAGATAACTCAAGATCCAAGTAGTCGCCGAGAAATTAGAGACCTCCTCGTGTCATGTGAATTTGTGAGCTTTGGATGCATAGATGAAATAAAATGGAAGGCGTTATCTGTAAAGTTTTAGTTTTATTTGTGTTTTTAGATTTTTAATAACATAAACGTGACGTCATATGCTCAAACAGTCCAATTGTCCACATGCATCATTAAGTTACATTTTTTTATACCAATTTTCTTTTAGTTTGATTGTGTTCGAAGCTATAAGCTTATTGAAACACTCTTGAATCTGTTCCTGGAACTAACCAGTACCAACCAGTACTAAGAAATGCATGTAAAGTTTCTTGCACAAGGAAACAAGGGCTTGCCTCTGATGGGCTCTGAACCAACGCGGCCAGCAATCATTTCATTACTACTCCGACGCTTTAACCTTTCGTCATTAAGTTTTTTTTAGTCTGAAAGACACAGAAGTTGATATGTAAATGGTGTATGATCACTATAATGCTAGCCTTCATCTAACCCTCACCGCGGCACATACCTTTCTTTTTTCATTTTATTCAATTATTTTCAGTTCAATTCAGTTTAATATTATTCTATTCTACTCTATTCTACGAGGGATGATCAAAAATAAACCGGACTGTGACTGTCAATTGAAGAATTTTCAACACATCACTTATTGTTATATATCACACTTAACCGGAAAACAATACCTGTAAACTGATGCTTTATATAATCTGATAACGCAAAAATCTTGTCCGTAACAGCAAATTCAAAAACCATGGTAACGCATACCCGGCGCAGTGCGTAAATTCGCCTTGACAACAGGCGCTTTAAGCTGCGTATATTTTACAATATGGCACATTTAGATTTCAAATTACGCCAAAACGTCATGAACCATATCTTTGACGTTGTCAGTAAAAATGACTTCATTTAAATCATTTTTATATTTGCAATCACAATTCAAACGTCACATGTTAATGAAATACTCCCGTTAAAATTATGTCGTCTGAATGTCTCGAAAATCGATCAATAAGAAAAATTTGTCAAAAGTAAGACGAGAAACTGTTTAAAACGTAGAAAAAGATTATGGCTATCAAGGGAAAAGTTCCAGAAAGCCACAGCATATTTTTTCATTAGCATAAAAAATTAAAAAAGGTAATAGAGAAATAGAAAACAAGTAAGGGAGAGACGAAAAAAGAAATTTTCAAGGACGTTGGTGACGTCAATCGCCAAGACGTTGAAAAATGACAAGTCGATTGACTGCGGACATTGTCAACGATGTTCGAAGTAGCTACGGGACGGTGCAGTCAACTCTACGGATTTTAAAATGATAATAGTTAATGCATTAATTACATATATTGTATTCTTGGTTTACAATTGTATCAATTATTTTCTTATTTTACGCAGTAGTTTTTTTGGAGAAACTGTGTCAACAATTAGACAGTCATTGTTCAAAACTGGCTATGCGTTTTATTTATTTTAAAATAATGACAATTTTGTTCATAGTTGTATTATCCTTTTATGTTTTCTTATGTATGATACATTATCATTCAGCAACATTATTTTACATTATTTGTAATACAAAATATAGTTTATTGCATGTGCCATTTTTCCAGCAATCAAGTTACAGAAGGAAAGAACGGAAATTTGCGTCATTACAGGAGTTCTTTATCATCATCCATTCTTTTACAATACAATATGTTACCCACTTGTACAGAAATATATATAGGCAGTGGATCCGCCGCATCAACAACATGACTGTACCACTTATTGGCATACTCTGTGAATGAGTAAAAAACTGCTCCGTTAGTGAAAATACGCTTGTGACGTCGTTAACGTCAATTTCAAAATTATACCGTGCGCCGCATTGCTGTATATGTACATGACACTAACTGCATAACTTTTTTATTTGTTTATATTTCTTGTTGGTATTTTTTGTATCATTTAGGGAATAGATTCCGATTTATGTTCCGTGTATTTTTATGTAAATTCATTTAACAGGTAACGAATCATTTACAAAGTCCGGTTAATTTTTGATCATCCCTCGTATTCTATTTAAAGGCTCGAGTAATACAACTTCAGCGTATTGATAGTATGTTGTAGTTTTTGAACTTTCATATCAATATTTTCACAATCATCTATGTTACAGAATCATGTTCAGACTTGCAAGTATCAACCAGTTACATGTCCAAATAGTGGCTGCAATAAAAGAATACCCCCGAAAGAAAAGAAAATTCATTTAAAGAAGTATTGCGAGTACAAGCCCGAACAATGCACGTTTTGTAAAAAGTTTGTTCCTTCAAAGCTCATGCAGGTAATTTAGCACATTCTAATTTTATTTTTGAAGTCTTTTTTATGTTCTCAAAAAAGAATAATGATAGTATAAGGAGTGTTTCTCTCTTAGACACATTAAGTGATGTACAGCATAGTTGATACCGCTTACTTTGATATATCCTTCAAGGCTTGTACCGATGTAAGTCAACCAGGAGTTCTACAGTTTAACATATATTACCATATATGTGTCCGACAGGTTGTAATATATACAGGTTGCTGAAATTTAAAGTAAAATATACATGGAAAGAATAAGAAATAGATATTACTTTCATGAAATAAAGAATAATCATATTCCGTCAAAATAAATGTATTGCTGTTTTAACGATTATAATACTTACGTAGTTTCGAATAGGAGGCACATTTTTTGCGATTTCAGTAAAAAAGGTCGAAACATTTCATCATGGCTTATTTGTAAAATTAATTATTAAGCCCTGAGAGCGATTAATCTGCAATCTTGCACACACAGTATTAATCTAGAACTACATTTATTAGGACATACATCTTAAAAAAAGTATTCCCAGTTTAAGAAATAAATTCTTATGTTTATTATTTATTCTTATCGTTTAGAGCCACATAGAAGATGAATGCACATCTGTTGTCATGCTGTGTCCCTATCAATGCGGTAGCCTAAAAATGACGAGAGTTGAGGTAAAATTATTTCTTTTTACATAAAGGTTATATAATTCATTTTAAATCGCAGTCAATCATTCTATTTTAGTTACTAATTTACCGATAAAATATTTATTATGTTGTTATTGACAATATTTTGTTTTCATTTACTGATTACCCTTAAAAATGTTCCGTCATTTAATTATCAAACAAACAATTTTAGTTTTGTTTGTTCCCTATTTCTCCGAAACATCTGATTGTTCATAGTTATCGTATAATATAGAAGAAAGAAAGAAGAAATTTTTTATTTAACTTGTACATTTACTTGTATCTCGTTATACATCAAGTAGTAATACATATAAAACATTTTGCCATGGCTGTATTAAAACATGGCATGATAATGAATGTTTCAGTTTATGCATTCTGGAAATAAGCTCTTAATAAGTTTGAAATTAGATATTGAGTAACAGTAATTTCTCACTAAGAAAGTGTCTAACAGTGAATATAATGAACATTATTATAGTTCAATAAACATATATGATATACATGTGTCAGATATTATTTATGATCAACTTCGAAAGCTTCGTTAAAAGACAATTAGTGTTCCTGTTTAAGTAAATTATTTAATTTTCAAAATGTTTTCAAACTGACATTCTTTGCTTTAGCTGAATAATCACAAGGAAATATGCCACATGAAGCCTAGAGAATGTCAGTATAAATGTGTTGGCTGCACGTTCATGGTGAGTTAAATTCTCAATTTTACTGTAACCAATAATGTATTTCATTTTGATGTCTAGTACATGCAGTTTATTGTATACCGTCCAATATATTTATTTCAGTTCATTAAATCTATGTTAACAAATAAAACATACAAGCTGTTTTTACAACTACAGATCTCATATAAAACGCTGTTAAGTTATATAATGTTTTATTGGCGTACTTCGACTTGAAATAGTATAAATGTTATCCATGAATGTATATTAGTAAAATGTTGGATTGCATGTGGGTCAATTCCCTTTAAATTTAATCATAGTTAGCCCGTTGCTGCGCTGGACTGAATGATACGTGCTATACTGCCATGTGTATATATTATAGGTACACTATACTTTCATGTGTACATGTACTATATAATCATGTATTTATGTGCTATACAATAATTTGTATATGTATATTTGGAACTGTATAATCTTTTATGTTTAAGTTGTATACTCATTTATATATGTACTATAAAATCATTTACATGTGACATATAATCATAAATACATTATTGCTTATGTACTGTACACAGTAACCTTTTTTTTCTCACACAATCTCAAATAAAAATTGTGATTATATACAAAAGTATACAAAAAATGCTTGGTTCAGGATACAACTATATTATAACCAGTCATCTGCTTATCACACTTATATTATGGAACATCTACAAAATTAGAATTTGATGATATTTATTGAAAAGATGTCTTTGTGTTGCACATAATATCATACTGTAGAAGGCAATTCTTCGCAATTCTAGTTGCAACATCATTAACTATATAACATTTCTTTTTCTTCTTTTTTCTCTTTAGTTTTAAATTCATTGTATTAAAGACATTTTAAAATTTTCTTTTAATCACTGATTAAAGTCATGTTCATATCAATTTTGGTTCAAAAATGAAAAGGTGTCATAAATAAATAACAAAAAAAGCCTAACTTATATACTCTAACATAATAAACACATGAAATAAATTATCATTGACTTTCTTAAAGCTTATTTCATTTTCTTGTATGTAAAGATTTTTTCTTTATTTTTTCCCCTTTTTGTATGAGAAATTGTCTTCTGTTCTTTTTTCCATATGTAATTTTTTGCATAATGGATGTTGTTGCAAGTTCCTTTTTTCTTTCTTTATTTTTTTCTTAGTTTATTCATGCTAAACTATATTTTTACTTTATTGAGGCCATATTATTTAGCGTTGTTTCACTGGGTTTATGTATTAATTTCAGTCAAGTGTAGTTATTTTGTACAATGGATATATAATGATGAATGTATAAAAATAACAATTGTCAATGAGTAATCTTAAGATTTTCTCTTATAATTGCCGAGGTTTGAATGATAGCATTAAGAGGCGTGATATTTTTAACTAATTCCATACCAAAAAAGCTGATATACTCTGTCTACAAGAAACTCATTTTATTAAAGAAATTGAAAAAAAGTTTACTCCGATTGGGGTGGATTATGTTTTTTTAGTCATGGAAGGTCAAATGCTAAGGGTGTAGCCATTTTATGTAGGAAAAATTTAGGTATTAAGATAAATTCAGTTAAAACTGATGACTCTGGAAATTTTATAATTTTACAAGTATCAGTTGATTCAATAAATTTTCTACTATTTAATGTATATGCTCCAAACATTGATAGTCCTAATTTCTTTAAAAATATTTTTGATGTTTTAGATTCTTTTAGTGATAATGATTCATTAATTTTCTGTGGAGACTTTAATCTTGTTCAGAATCCAGACTTAGATTACCATAATTATAAATCAAAGGTTCATAATATTAAGGCTAGAATTTTTTTATTAGAAGCTATTGAAGATAAAGACCTAATAGACCCTTTTAGAGAATTACATGGTGATGTCAGAAAATATACATGGAGACGAACTAACCTTATACAACAAGGCAGATTAGATTTTTTTCTTGTAACAAGTAATCTGTATCAGTTTGTACGTAAATGTGACATAGACGTTAGTTATAGATCTGATCATTCTATTATATATTTAGATTTTTGTTTTGTTCCTGTTAGTCATGGAAAAGGTTTATGGAAATTTAACAATGCTCTTTTACATGACATTGAGTTCCTTGATATAATAAATAAGAAAATAGATGAAATAAAATTACAATATTGTTTACCAGTTTATGAAATAGATTATATTTTAGATATACAAAATACAGAAATAGATTTTGTTATTAATGCTGAACTTTTTTTGGAGACACTTTTAATGGAAATCAGAGGTAAAACTATTTCTTATAGCTCATTTAAGGCAAGAAATGTTTATGAAAAACAACTAATGGAAGAAATTATTCATATTGAACAAAATTTAACAATTACAAATAAAGACAAACTTTTACATTTACAAAATGAATTGAATGAACTTAGATGCAATAAAATTAAAGGTGCTATGATCAGGTCTAGGTCACAGTGGATTGAATTAGGAGAAAAACCTTCTAACTATTTTTTTGAATTTAGAAAAATCACATTGTTTAGCTAAAACAATTCCTTTCCTAGAACTTGATGACGGAACTTTTATATATGATCAAAAAGATATACTTACAGAAACTTGTTCTTATTATGAAAATTTGTATAAAAATGTTGTTTTGACTGATGACTCTGATATTGATAAAAAATTAGAGAATTGTGATATTACTATGTTGTCTCAGGATCAATCAGCAAAACTAGAAGGTCTCCTTTCGTACGATGAAGTCTCTTTTACATTAAAAAATATGAAAAATGATAAAAGTCCTGGATGTGATGGATTTACAGTTAACTTTTTTAAAACCTCTTGGAATAGAATTGGACATTTTGTTGTGAAAGCTATTAATTATGCATATAATGCTAATTCATTTTCTAGAAATCAGAAATTAGGAACCATAACATGTATTCCGAAAGAAAACAGGCCAAAACAATTTCTAAAAAATTGGAGACCAATTACCTTATTAAATGTAGTATATAAATTAGCTTCAGGTAGTATAGCAAATAGATTAAAAACTGTTTTAGATATTTTAGTGTCAAAAGATCAAACTGGATTTGTTAAGAATAGATATATTGGTGAAAATACTAGATTATTATATGATATAATGAAGTTTACTGAAGATAATAATATGCCAGGTTTAATTATGATGATAGATTTTGAAAAAGCTTTTGATACTCTGTCTTTTACATTTATTGAGAAATGTCTTTCGTTATTCTGTTTTGGTCCTATGTTTAGGAAGTGGATATCTCTGTTTTTATATAATACTGAAACTTGTGTCATATTAAATGGTTTTTTATCCAATTTTTTTTAAAGTTAGACGAGGTTGTAGGCAAGGCGATCCAATTTCACCGTATATTTTCATTTTATGTGCAGAGATATTAGCAGTAAAAATAAGACACTGTAAGGATGTTAAAGGCATAATTATAGATGGGGAAGAATATAAAATTAATCAATTTGCAGATGATACATCACTTCTATTAGATGGTTCAGAAAAATCTCTAAATACTGCTTTAAAGTTATTAAGTAAGTTTACAGAAATTTCTGGATTAAAGATAAATTTTGACAAAACTAAGGTTATTTGGATAGGCTCTCTTAAATATAGTACTAGGTGATCAATTAAGACAAGATGGAAATTAACTTGGGGTGATACTCAGTTCAAATTGTTAGGTTTAATATTTGATGTTGATTTAGAAAAAATGATTGACTTAAATTTTAATGAAAAACTTCAAAAAGTAAAAAATAGTATCATTCACTGGAAAAAGAGAATATTAACTCCAATAGGAAAAAATTGCTGTTATTAAGTCAATATTGCTTCCTTTATTTACTCATTGTTTCACAAGCCTACCAACACCAAATACTGTATTTTTGAAAACACTTAATGACTTATTTTATGATTTCATTTGGGAAGGCAAGGCAAAAATAAAACAATCAGTACTTATTAAAACATACATAGAAGGTGGTTTAAACATGGTTGATATTTATAGTTATATACATAGTTTAAAGATAAAATGGCTTAAAAGATATGTTAGTAATAGCAAAAGTAAATGTTATAAGCTAGTAAACACATTGTTTAATATTGATAAAATTTTTAACACTGGAAAAATGTTTTGTAATTTGATTATTAGTAAAATAACAAATTCTTTCTGGATTGATGTTTTAAAAGCTTATATGGTGTTTGTAGATAAACTTTGTATAGATAATATAGAGCAAGTATTACATATGCCACTTTTTTACAATCACAACTTTTTAGCAGGAAATAGATATATTTACATTCAGACATTATATAATTAAGGAATCAGATTTGTAAAAGATATTATAAATGAACAGGGTAACTTTGTAGATTTGATATATTTAGAACAGGTCACAGGTAAACCTGTGAACTTTTTACAGTATCATAGTTTAAAACAGGCAATAAAAATGTACATGCAAAAGTTAAATATTTCTATTAGTAACAATTTGCTTAATGTTCAATATCCTATAATAAATTGTTATGTTAAACCTATTTTAACTATGAATAACAATAAGAAATATGTTTATGAAATTATAGCTAAAAATTCAGACATACCTACAAGTCAAGAAAGGTGGAACACATGTTTTAAAGATGATAACATTAATTGGCAGTTAATATATAGTTATGTTTTCAAATGTTCTAAAGATTCATATATTCAGTGGTTCCAAACAAGAATTATTCATAGAACTTTAGCTACAAACTCACTTTTGTTTAAAATGAAAATTGTTGATAATAAAATGTGTACTTTTTGTAAATGCTGTGAAGAAACACTTTTACATTTATTTTGGGAATGTCAGAAAATTCAAAGCCTATTTCAATACCTTAGAGAAAACTTACATAATTTTGACGATGTTCTTTGTTGTAAATGTACAGAAAATAAAGATTTTAAATATGACATATTGTTTCTAGAATTGAAAAGATATATTTATTTGTCAAAGAGAAAAAACTTTTTACCTACATGTATTGGTTTTAAAAATAGTTTGAAATTAGCATGAAATATCTATAGAAATACAAATTTGACAGATGATGAAAATAATAGATGGTCAATTATAAGATCCTTAATTGCTTAAATTACACTTAATATGTGAAACAAAACTTTACCTCGTAACAGATTGTTTAATTGTTTATTAATAAGTAGTAATTTTTATTGGTAAAATATTTTTGGAAAATAGATGGGTTTATTGTATGTATATTGTATGTATGTTGTTTATATTTATATGCAAAATATATACTGTAGATGTATTTGACAATATTTACATGAATATAATTATTTTGCAACATGTATATTGTATATTAACAATGTAAGGTATGATGGAGGATGACCCCGACCCCCTCATACCTATTACGGGGTAAATAAACGGGGTTACCCAGATGGGGCCTCAAAAAAAAAATAAAAATAAAAATAAAACATACATAAACATGCAAAAAAGAATAGTAAATTATCACCAATTATCAAATGATAATAATAATAAATATGAAACACTTTACCTAGGGTAATAATGAAAGTTAATTTTAAAAATTACCAGTTAGTTGAATATAAACCACATTTACACTGGTAAAAGTCATTATGTTGTAAAACAGGGTACAGATGAAGAGGTAAAAAATCACTTAATCAATGACTTGAACGGACATATACAATTAACAACTGATTATGCTAAAAAATTGGGGGATCAAACCTTGCAATGTTCACGGGAACTCCAGGTAAGTTTTTTTTCTTCGTATATTTTTTACTTCTTTTTGTGTCGCCTTGAAAAAGGCGACATATAAGGGTTACTTTTGTCGGCGGCGTCGTTGTCGTCGTCGTCTGCGTCGTTGTCGGTGTCGTCGTCGGCGTCGTTGTAGGCGTCCCCTAAAGCTTGTCCAGAGCATAAGTCAGTCATTATAAGTCGGATTGACTTCAAACTTGGTATGCATGCTTCTCATAATGACCCAAAGTGCAGTGCACAAGAACCAGTACTCTGTACTTCTTATTTTTTGAGTTATTGCCCTTTGTATATTTTCATACTTTATTTTTGTCCGGGCCATTTCTCCTTAAGTATAAAATCTATGGACTTGAAACTTCATAGGATGATAGATCTCATTAAGAAGAAGTGCAGTGCACAAGAACTGGTTCTCTGCATTTCTTATTTTTTTAGTTATTGCCCTTTGTTAATTTTCATACTTTATTTTTGTCCAGGCCATTTCTCCTAAAGTATAAAAGCTATGGACTTGAAACTTCATAGGATGATAGATCTCATTAAGAAGAAGTGCAGTGCATAAGAACTGGTACTCTGCATTTCTTATTTTTTGAGTTATTGCCCTTTGTTAATGTTCATACTTTATTTTTGTCCAGGCCTTTTCTCCTATGGACATGAAACTTCATAGGGTGATAGATCTCTTTAAGAAGTGCAGTGCCCAAGAACTGGTACTCTGCATTTCTTATTTTTTGAGTTATTGCCCTTTGTTAATTTTCATACTTTATTTTTGTCCAGGCCATTTCTCGTAAATTATAAAAGCTTTAGACTTGAAACTTAATAGGAGGATATATTTTATTGATAAGAAGTGCAGTGCACAGAAACTGCTTATCTGCATTTCTTATTTTTTGAGTTATTGCCCTTTGTTGATTTTCAAATTTCATTTTTGTCTTTGCCATTTCTCTTAAACAATATTGTTCACAAGGCGACACATCCGACTCGCGGAGTTCTAGTTTACAATTTTAGGCACACGCTTCTTTTACTTAGGAGCCATACGCCGCTTTTCATGGAATGACACGAAAGTGTCACTCTGAAGGATCCATGACAACCGCCGTATGAACACATTTGTGGATGTTTCTGAATTCAAAATGTCACCATTTTTGTTTATATTTTGAATTCTGCTTAAGCCGGTGCTTGAGGGCGTGGACAAAAACTTGCAATTCCAAGTACCATATATGAACCATCGTCGGATACCCATGGCCGAACCATTAACATTGATCATTTTGATTGCATGTTATGTGACATGTTTATCAATTGTGGGTATCCGACGATGTATATGAACAGGCTCAATCAAACCGAGCCTGCAACATTTTTTATTTTGTCGTTTTCAGCGTTCTTTTGGATTCCGTTTTTCTCTATTTTATTTAACTGTCTTCTTTGAATATTTTATCATCTTCTCTGGTTAGTCAGTTTATACATTTATAAACTTATGATTTCCGTGCACATTTCCCCCGCCGAACCACTGTAGGCATACAGTCAAAGTACAGTTTGTGGTATCCCTCAACTTCTTTTTACCTAGTAAAGTCAAGATCTTCCGTCGTCAAATTATGTTATGTTTCTATACGTGACTTTTGATTTTATATATTTATTCATTAATTATTTTATCCTTTTCGAAGAAACTCCACTTTTCAAAAATTGTTATAGTAGTGAAGCATTAGCAGTTATAAGGTTTCGCATATGACTTTAAAAACTGTACCTATTTATATAGTTTATTCATTGTTTGCTAAAAAGTAAGATTCCAAGTCTAAAGTATTTATTGTTCTGATATTTTAGGTAGTACAATCAGAAAGAGATCAGCTTCGTGCACAGGTTGATAATATGAAAAAAGAAATGACGCTGATGAAAAACAATTTTGAGAAGGCTATGAATTTATGTAAGGAATTAAAGGTAAAGATTGTCACATAACATGTTTCTTTGTCAATTATGACCTTATTAATACATGTGTATATTCATAAGGATATATCAAAAATGGCATGTCAATGTCTTTTCTTGCCACAATTGAAGAAAAATATCATCAGAAGTCAAATTAGCCAAGAACATTAACTAATAAAGAAACTCCTTGGTAAACTTGGAAGAAAATAAATCATTGACGAACGGCTTATGAAAACTTTAGGACTAAGAGACACATATCCCCCTGTAGAATGATGACGTTACGCCGATCTCTTGTAAGTGATTCTCATTAGTGCATTGTCTTCTTCATAGACAATAAAGCCTTTTTGTTTATGCTCATAAAAATCTATTTGTACATATATTTACATGATCATTTTTCCCTTTTATAACCGTTAAATTTGTTTTCTTATTAGACATTTTCTATATCGAACAAGTATTATAAATTTGCCGTTACACAGCTAACAGTACATATTTAGAAAAGATTTTGCAAGGGTGTTTTATTAATTACTTTTATTAATTATTTATTTATTCTGTCATTTCAAGTAAATATAAACGATCACGTCTTTGCTCTATCTTTTTTTTTAATTATAATATATAATTGTAAAATAATTGCGTAAGTTATGTTAGTTAATGTGTTTTTATAGTTAATGTTGCTGTCTGGAAGGCGAATATACCGTATCATCTTAAACCTTGCTTTCACTTGTAATTGTCTTTTTATATTACCCTAATATCTTGAACAAAGGTTAATATGTCCATTGTAAATTGATTATTTAAGTTAAAAATGGTATCAGTAACAGAGCGTGTAATTCATCTAGAGAAGCAACTAGAAAATACTGCTAAGAAAGACATTGTTGAACGTCATGATACAGATGTTCGAACCATGCAGGTATCTCTGACACAGGTTAGGGCACAAGTTGTTCAACTTGAAAGATTATATTTAAATGAAGGAAGATCAGGTCCGGGTGAAATCTCATCAGGTAAAATATGTGACGTTAACTTTAAAGTATACATTATGTCTAAGAGTAATTTTTCTGGGTTATGACATAATTATATACCGAGGATACATAACATACTGTACAATCGTCATAGGTTCTATATTATTTTAATCACTGTCGTTTATAATAAGATTATTTCATTTTAAACATATTAGAGAGTTGTTTATTGAAACAAATTTTTGCATGTTACATAGCTCACAAACACAGTGAATATTATTTACATAGTAATTAACAAATATAATATTTGAATACGTTTTCATTTAAGTTAAATGATATTTGTTAGAATATCTGTCTGCAGCAACAGTTCAGTGTTTAAGCATCATTGATTTTCTTCGGACAAAGATATTTAGAATAGGATCATTCAAGCTCTGTCCTCTTTGTCTCAAAACATTTCTTATTACAAACCTATGATATAAATCATTCATAAATGAAAATCGACCATCTACATCAAATGCTTAATATTACTCTTATTTATATGTAAAGAAAAGTATTTTTAGAAATTTTATCTAAAATATTTTCTTTCTCTGAGGCTAAAATTCGGTAAATAATATATTTCTATAAGAAAAACGCTTGAATAATAAGTAGGTTATAAAGGTTCACCCAAAAATTATTGTGATTTTTAAACCATATAATGACTTCTATTTAATTGAGCCTATTATTAATCGAAACTGCATTTGAATGACCAACATTGGTTATATATTTTTATTTTTATTTTTACATAGAGGATATTCAAGTTTTTTTCTATAAATGCAGGTTTTATTTTCATCGAGTGGTCTGAAAATAAATATTTCATGAGTAGCGGTAGTCAGGAGAGAAAAATGATAATTTTCATACCACATGATGAAAATGCATACTGTATCTGTTGAATAAACACGAATTTAATGTTTGTTATATACATTTTCTAATATTTTAAATTACAATTTGAAAGGCTTTTCCTTATATTTTGTGTATTGACTGAATTAAGAAGAAAGTAGTCCAGCAAAACACCAGTGAAAATATGGAAAATATAGAAGTATAGAATAAAGTTATTTATTTTGTATAAAGCTCCAGAGTTAAAGCGTATAATAGACAAGCATGACAGCCAATTTGCACAGTTGGATGTTCAGATGGCAGAGCTTGACCTGAGATTTCAGATCCTGGAGACAGCAAGCTACGATGGTACACTAATGTGGAAGTTGAGGGATTATGCTCGGAGAAAACAAGACGCAGTTCAAGGGAGAACACTCTCGTTGTACAGTCAGCCATTTTACACCCACAGATATGGCTATAAGATGTGTGCTCGGGTACGTAAGTTGAATTTGATATAATGATAGGTCCAAACATTCCACTGTTAATTATGCAACAAAACAATAATGCATGAATGTCACTGCGGACTGTGTTACGATCCAGAACACACATTCTTATATTTAGTTGCCTTCTCGGGAGAATGTGTTTGTATTTGTTTCTGCTTATGTGGTAAATAGAGGATATTGAATGAGTGCAGGTTCAATACTGATTTTATTGAAGAGTTGAACAAAACTATAATATGCAAGCCTTTGCCGAGCAAGATAAAATTTTATTCAACGAGTTCAATAAATTTAGCAATGAACTTACACGGATATAATATTCTAGTTATCACATACCCAAAATAAAGACTGTTTAAAATGAAAAATAACTTATAGTGTAAGCTAACATTTAGTGCGTCTTAACAAACGCAAATGACGGCATGGCAAAATGTATGCACCGCCTTGCAATACTATTTTTACGGAGTCGCAAAAGCGGCACAGGTATGTGATAATCATATTATTGTTAAAGGGATTTAATGTGTAAGAAAAAAACATGCCGCAAAAGTTGAGAGCAGGTAGGCGTTTAAATATGAATGATAAGTGATCTTGTTATGATACATTTTACTTTCATCTGGTTTTAAATATCTAGGTAAGAGGTAAGTTGTATTCATATGCATATCTATATTAATTAGAAGCTATGGACAGCATTCCATTTGGCGGTTTTTCCTCACTCAGGAAATTTTACATTAATCCATGTTATTATAATACTTTGAGTTATAAGTAATAGTATAAAGTAAAATTATTTTATGGCATTTCGAATGATTGTTCATTTTTATTCAAATTAACATGTGTATTGGCTACCCCTTCTCTAACGATTTCGAGCTCCCTGATCTTCCGCACACGAAATAATGTAGGCTATGACGCGATTTCTTACCGGCATTTATCTGGACACATGAAGTTTGGCTTTAACAGCTTAATTCATGCGTTGCTTTTCAACAAAGTGATGAACGAAAAATGTATTATCGTAAATTTTGGAGTGGACAATGTTTCTCACCATTTAATGATACTTCTTGATTGATACTTCTTGATTAAGATCTATCCTTACTTATCCTTATTTTTATTTATGTCATGTAAATATTGTATCCTGTCATATTTATAGTTTAGATTATTGCTAAAAATTGTCACAAGTTTCTGTTGTCAAACTTTGTATTATATATGTGTCGATTTGTCGCTTTCTAAATTTACTTCATAAATGTACATTTCTTACAATTACATTTTTAATTCAGGCAGTTTTTATCTCCTTTGTGCACTCATTTGGGAAATTTTATTTTAAACCACGTAATCATAACACTTTGTGTAATGTAACTCTATGGGAATTTGAATAAATGCATTTTAATCAGCATGTTTACAATACATGATTGTTACATAGAAGCTTTACTGGTGCTGTTTCAATAAGTGATTCAGTTGAAAATCTTTGCATGAATTTTCTATATATATCTTCACTTTAATTGAACTTTAACAGTTTTGGTTTCTCCTAAAGGTATATCTTAACGGAGATGGCATGGGAAAAGGAAGTCACATGAGTCTGTTCTTTGTTGTTATGAGAGGTGAGTATGATAACCTGTTGCCATGGCCGTTCCAGCAGAAGGTAACGATGACACTTCTTGACCAGGAGACAGGACAGTGCAACCTTTCTGACTCGTTTAGACCAGATCCAACCAGTAGCAGTTTTAGAAAACCAACAACAGACATGAATATAGCTTCTGGATGTCCACTATTTGTATCTCATGCAATTCTTGAAACACCTAAGTATGTTAGAGATGACACAATAATGATCAAGTTTCATGTTGATCTGTTAAATCTGAACCATCCATAAACACTTAATGGTAAATAACATTACACATTTTAATAAATATTTGTTAAAACTAGGCGCTTTAAAATTCAATATGACGGCCATATAAACATATCGAATATGGCTGTATTGCTTAAGACAGTGTACACCGCACTTTGGAGTCAAACGCACTTTGTGGTCCGACCCCAAAGTGCGTTACGTACTTTAGGGTTCGACCCCAGAGTGCGTTAAGCACTTTTGGGTCCAATTTTGACCCCAAAGTGCGTTTAACAGGTACATATGCAATTTTTAACATCAGACAAACGACCGCACTTTGGGGTGAATAAAAATTAATTTTCATTATGTTTTAAATGATATATTGTAGTCAAAGCCAATGGTAAACAAAAGTCAATGTGTTAAAATAGAGAAAATAAGAATTCCCAAAGAAAGTCCAACATTGCACAATTGCAAATGTTGCAGGCTGGATTTGATTGAGCCTGTTCATGGATGGTACTGGAAAATGCAAGTTACCGTCCACGCCCTAGCACCGGTTTAAGCAGAATTTAACTTTTAACATGAACTGGAACAATTTTGAATTTAGAAACATCTGCGGATGTGTTCATGTGGCGGTTATCATGGAACCTTCAATGTGACACGTAAGTGCCATTCCATCAAAAGCTGCATATGGTCCCCAAGTAAAAACATACGTGTGCCCTTAACAAGAAAACAATGGGCGGTACTAAATAAAATGGAATTTTGAAAGGAAATCAGAGGTTATCAAGCCTGCATATCACCGATAAGACGTCAAAAGACAAATTTTAAAAGCAGGCCACATGTCCTAGAATTCAAGTGAGGAATACTGGAACCACCCAGCAAGAAAATAGCCGAATAGAAAGAATAAAGTTACCACAAGCACAGCACTAATGTCGTGCTGAACGATCTTTAAGGATCGGAAGCATAACAATAAAGCATAATATTGAATAGACGCAAAACATGTGCCCTGAATTATAATAAAATCAATATGGAATTTGAACTATCTAGATCAGTTAGTGAAGAGCTTTCATCAAGTAAAGAATTTGTATAAATTAATAAGCTCAAAATATATTTTCTCACATATTCCATTTATTTTAAATGAATGTACACATTTCATTAACCTCATTGTTTTTAGCCAATTGCATCATTTCCCCGTGTTTTTTTATTTATACATTTACAGAAATATGATATTCTTAGAAAAGGCAAATATATAAATCTTGGGAAATCTAAATAACACATTTCAGTAAAAAAATGTGCCTGATAAAATGTTGAAAGGGTCATTTATTTAGCTTATCTAAATTTGACATTTAAGAAACTTGACTAGGTGTAGATGCGGCCTTAAGTAGTAGTAGTCCGTACAGGCAGTAAAACTCTTTTAGTAGTCACACATTTAGAGTGGAACTTCATAAAAATGTAAAATTCTTATTGAGGGGTCTAGAGGTGATGGTTGGGTGCTTTTTAATTTTGGTGTACTTCTATAGATTCCAAAAGTTACTCATTGGCCAATTACCTGAACCACCTTTTAAATATGTTGCTTTTTGGCAATAAGAACAGTCATACTAGTGAATTAGTATTTGATATGGAAGTACAATACTACATTGTTTACATTTTGCTACTTCTATAACAAATTATTTCACATTAATCACTAGTTTATTCAGGTAACAAACATCTTACATTTCTCTGATACCATTATTTAAACATTATAAAATTCATGTTTGCCTACTCTAAAGAAGTATGAAAGATTTCCCATTAAAAAAGCCTCTGGCGAACGGTTGTAAGGCGGAGCTTACAAAAAAACTTAAGTTTGTTGATAAGCTTAATAGTATTTGTAAAAATCACTATCTATAATCCGATCGAGAAACTTGATATTTCACCAGAACATTGCAACAGAGTATATTTATAGTTCTTTGGAAAAATATTAACTGCATTTTATTTGAATGTATCATATTTGAATAATATCAAGGTATTAAGTAGACGCAAAAAATGTGCCCTGAATTATAGTAGAAACAGTGAAGACTTTAAATGATCTTGATCAGTTAGTGAAGAACTTTCATATTTAAAATGGGGCTCAATATGGCACCCATATCAAGTAAATGACTGACAGAACATCATATTTTTTCGCAGCATCTATTAATTTTAGAAATACAATTCAAAGTCAATTTCTCGATTTTGACCCCAAAGTGCGTGGGACCCCAAAGTAAGATGCGAAGTGTGACGCACTTTGGGGTCGGACCTTAAAGTGCGTTTGACCCCAAAGTGCAGTATTACAAGGCAGATTTCTGTTTATAAAAATACAAAAAAAGTATTATGTTTGTTTAATGAAAGTAAATGATAAAATGGATTGTATGAATGTTCAGTATGTGTGTTAAGATATATGTTAAAACTTTGATTACCATTTAATCATATTTTAAATGATACATGTTATTCGATTGATATGTGTATGTAATATTTGTACATAATATTATAGTTTATGAGATCATTATTCATGTACTGAGAAATGGAAAAAATAACTTTGATTCTGATTCTAATAAAAGTCTGTTCCGTATTGTATTCAATAACTGGCCTATACATATCACAATAACATCAGTTTTTGAAGTGGGCTCTGTGTACACGGGCGTTGTCACCCATAAGAATAAAATCAGGGCCGACTGCGCCAGCGTACGTGCGTAAATGCACGTCTAAGATTTCATTGACGTACCTTATTACGTAATTGCTGTCGTCAGTGTACCGTTTTCAATGATGTGTAGGTCCGTTTTCCCCTGAGCGCTTATTCCCGCCCACACCATGACTGAACCCCTGCAAAACGGCCGTGTTTTGCAAATCATGCTGGGGACTTCTCCAAACCCTAGCCAGTCTGTCCGTGAAGTCCACACAAAACATTGACTCATCAATGAAGAGGACCGGGGCCCAATCGTTAACTGTCCATGTGAAATGAGTCTGCGCCCATTGCAAACGCTCTTGAATATGGCGTTGTGTCAAAGGAATGCAAATTGCAGGCTTCCATGACCTCAGCTCAGCATCATGCAACCTGTTTCTAAAAGTTTGTGTTCTTACACGCACATCAGTTGCGTTCTGGAAGTCGTTACGTAAGGTCGTAGCGTTCGATAACCGTTGGCGCTTAGCCTGAAGAAAAATAAATCGGTCCTGGGCTTGAGTCGTTGAACGTTCCCGACCTCCGGTGTGGTCCTGCAAGACATTTCCAGTCATTTGGAATCGGTTCCACATCCTGGAAACAACGTTCTGGGATACCACAAGGACATGGGCAACGTGATTTTGTTCAACATTCCAATACCCCTGTTCATTTCATCTTCATTAAGACGACGTCTAACCTGTCGATTTGCCATAGTTTGTTAATTTCGAACACGGTTTTACAAAAAAACGAGACAAGTCTTGCTGCTTGTACATGTTTAAGTGAAAGCACATGTACATAAAATACCAAATTTACATGGGTATGCTTTTCCACTTGCTTATCGTGCAAGGTGTACATGACAAAACGGTAATTTAAGTACACGATTCCCCGTACAGGTGTATCGTTAGCGGAAATATGATTTTAATATGATGATAAAAGGACTGAAATATATGTCAAAAGGGTGATCCTTAACACATTTTGAGTTGTGACCATCTTTCGTTATGCTCAAAATTTAAAGAATGACAATTATATGCTAGAATAATTAAAGCGTTTCTTAATTGAATGTTGTATATAATTTGAAACATATTTCTTCACTTAATTTACAGTTATACCTTTTCATTTAGATCTATTTGGTCGAAACGCATGCGTAAAATATCCTTTCTTAACGTAACCTTCCTGGTCATACTTTCTTTTGTACACCGTACTGTATACAGAAACTTTAATCGTAACTTTTAACTCATGTTCTTATCATATATTGTTTTGTCTTGTGCCGCCATTATAGACATTGATGATAGAAATTGTACATAAGTTTATGTAAAGGCTAAAATACATTGTATTATATTGAACTGGTATTATTAGTCTAATCTTGCTGCTGATGTTCTGTTTTCTAACCACGCTAAGTATAATTCATAATTTATTTTGGAACCACGCTTAAGGTTCTTTCATTTTCAAGTGAACAATACATATATAGACTAGTAACTATATAGCATTTATGTAGATAATAAAATGCTCTTCAGTTATAGAGGAGATAAAGATAATGATGGTGCGTGTCTTGCCGTTTAGCTAAGCTTCAGGCTTGAATCATCTAAAATGAAATAAAATTACTTTATCTCACTTTATTTCATTCATTTGCAGATAATAAAACTTTCATACAATTCAATATATTTCATTTAAACTACATTTTTCATTTATAAAATTTATAAAATTATTCGATAATTTTTTCAAATTGACAGTCATAGAAATATGTTTGAAACCTAATAACCTTATAAATGATATAACTCATTTAACTCTTTAAAATACAATAATTTCTACATTGAGAAAAGTAAATCACTGGAGGAAAGACCAACATGCTTGTAGTGCTGACCTCTGCAAAGATAATTCAACGTCCTACTTAAAAATGTCGGGCCATCATGACCCTCATATAGAAACATAAATAAGTCTCCAGCTACTTCACTGTCTTTCTTTTACTTTCATTAATGGTAATTTGAACTAATATATTTCGAACTGAATTTAAATCAGCATTTTTTTATGTCATTCATGATTTTCCCCAATGAATTTTTGGTAAGCAACTTCTTAAAACATTAAATGAACTAGGTTCATTGGTAGCGTTTACTTGTATTCATGCAAACAAAATTTAAACGCATCTTTTTTTGTTGTAACTGCTTCCACCGTGTATATCCGTAACGCAGACAAAGAAGAAAAAGAAGAAATTTTGTAATGATAACACGAAGTCTGCTTTTTCAGATCACATGGCCTCCTGGCTGTTTATTTCGTCGATAATTTTTACTATGATAAAGCAAAGGACACTTCATGTTTTTCATATAATGATTAAAACGAATCAGATAAATTTGTGAAATCTTAAGATGTGTGAAGTTGGCGGCCTGGCGGCCCAGCGGCCTAGCGTTGTGAAGTTGGCAACCTAGCAGCCAGCGGCCTAGTGGCGTTAAGTTGGCGGCCTAGCGGAAGGAACTTAAAAAAGAATACAAGTTTGGCAAAGAAATTAAAACGACTCTTAATTAATTCTTAAAGACATATCTTACCATTTAAAAGTTACATAAAAACATTTAGACAGATTTTTTATTATCTATTTCTGTCTTTTCCTTTCTGCCAATTTGCTAAATATTTTACCAGCATTTGCTGAAATACGATAATGACACCATGGTCATTATTTAAACATTACACAAGATATGTTTAGATACATTCATAAATCAAAGCGCATCTGAAGTTAATATTCGCTGTGCTTCTGGTGAACAAAGGCAATCTTTATAATTTCAGCCCACAATCGGTAATAGTAAAAAGGGAAAATACAAGTTGGATGTTCATTAATGTATTCATTTATCTATTTCTTAATTAGTACAGTTTTCCGTTGTTTCCAGGTTATTCGAATATATTAATAATGCTTTCTATTTTATTTGTTCTTGAATTTATATACATGTGTATATACATTTTCGGTGAATTATAGACAATGGTAGGATACTACGTCATCGCGCACCTGCTGAATGCTCCCACTTGGACCATTTTTTCGTCGACTCAAAGGTAAAATACAATTTTATTATAAGAAAACGTAAGAGTATTAAAAAATCATGTAGCGCACCAAAGAATGGCTATAGTACTTGCGATAATTGTAAAAAAAGTTTATAGATTTATTGCCTGGTTTAGGCCTGAAAACGGGATAAGTGTTTTTCTCTGAATGCTCCCACTCGGACTTCTCCCGAAACATATATGAAATAAGGTTGAAAACCTTCTTTAAAATTATTTTTAACGTACCGGAACATAAACCGAGTCATGTATACCCATTATTCTATATTAGTTTCAAATGTTTCTATTCAAAAGTCACTTTTTCTTAATTCTTTTTATAAAAATGGAAAATGCTCCCACTCGGACTCAACTTCAGACATGCTCCCACTCGGACCTAAATATATACAAATTTTGAAAGCACATTGCTGTCTTAAGATATTATTATTTTTTTCAAAATATCTTTATATTCACGTTCATATATTCATATAATCAGTAAGAATTCAATGAAACAGCATTTTTAAAATACGATACTAATATTTAAATTACTAAACAGTCTCGTAAATATGTCTTCTTAGAGGATTAGTATAAGGGAAAAAAGTTATGTTGAAACAATTCCTCGTTTAAAAGAGTCGCTTAAATAAGAAACAAATTGTTTACCCATTTTAAAAATGTAATAACGTTTTGTTTTGCAGAAAGTATTTGTATTTGTGACCAGTATGGGAAAAGGTATAAACCACATTGCGACGTAGGAAGCACATGGCAGGACATCTTGGCACGGCAAAGCTGGAGCAAATATTTTAGATACCAACTGTGGATATATCTCATTGAGGAGGAATACTCTAGAAAACACAAGAATAATAGTTCTTTGAAGTAATTGTCTTTTGTTCAGTTTTTTGCGTTAATTTTTAGACAATGTGTCATAAAGGATCAATTCATCAGGATAGATTTCAATAAAGTTAAATACCGCAAACAAGAATGACAACTCTCCAGTTTTGGAGTTATTGCTCTTTGTATTTACTATCATTAGTTTGCAAGGAACATACCTCTAAAGGTATTTGAGATATAAACTTAAAACTTTATATAGAACATGTTTAATAGAAGTGAATAGCAGAGCATAAGGACCAGAAGTGTTCACTTAATGCTTCTTTGTTGTTTTTCTTTGTTTTTTTTCATGGGAGTGTATTTTTGTCATGATTTATTATGTCTAGGCTATAACTTTTCATTAATTTTCACGAGTATCATTACTTGGAATTTTTTCACGTATGTAAGGGTTACTTCCCCTTTGAAATGTACTTCCTCCTTATGGCGGGGGATTTTGCTGTCTGTGATTCCTTCTTGTATTATTGTTATTATTTTAACGTCATTTAAATATCCTGAAATCATTTTTCTATGATTTTATTCATAAATATAATGCTCAAATGAAGATTTATCAATATTGTATGTTCCGAAAAGCATTATTTGTAAAGATAATATCGAATTTACATTTCATAAAGGGAGGTAATTAGAAAATATTTTCTATTAAGTGTAAGTTGAATCTTTCAAAAAAGAAATGAATGCATTATGCATACATGTATATTTTAATGATTACATATAATGTGGACAAGCATTTGCAGTACGTATTTTACATATTCCTTTATGTTTGAAAATTGTTTTAGTACCATAAATATTAATACATTTAATTTATAGACAAGTTCAATTGGTTACAGCCTGAAATATAAGTTACATGATCTTTAATTACCAAAATATGGTAAAGACTGTGATAAAGAAATAACTATGATCTTTGTTTTCTTATTTTTTTAATTTTTTAATTTAGGTAAAAATACGTACACATGATAACTTTCATACTTAAAATTGTCAAAGTTGTTAATAATTGTGACGCCGTAGTA